GGTTTGCTGACGGATTCACTTTATTTGGCATTAGCACTTTTTGACTATGTCTATCTATGCAACTAAATGCGACTACAAGCTTTTTTGTACTTTTTGGATCTTACAATCTATTTGGGCAAATGCTTGATTCTTATGTAATATAAAAAAGATATTAAACATTATATCTTGGAAATTTACTGTGTTGTTATGTTTCATGTCGTTCAAAAGAATTTCTGATGAGAAGGCTATTGATATAGATAATAAATCCTATACTCCAGAAGAAATAGTGTTTCACATAGTTAGACAAACTAAGACTTTGATTAATACTGTATTTTATCCATCTTTTCCTGATAACCCTAACTTATGTATTGTTAGATGTTAGAATCTTCTAAAGAGAAAACTCATGATCTCAGGAACTATAACCATTCTCAATTTACCCTTGTCTACAGTCACCCCTCCACCCTCCATTCCTCCCTCTACCCCCTCTCACTCCCTCCCCCGACACACATACAGACAAACATACAGAGATACAGACACACAGACACACACACATACAAAGACACATACATACACACAAATACACACAGACTTGCACACATACATACATACACACACAGACACATACACACGTACAGACTGACACACAGACACACATACATACAAACACACACACATATACAAAATGTTTAAGTCACCCTCCTGTTTCCTACCTTTTAGGTGCAGGAGGGTGACTTTCCCTGGGGTCCAGTGGTGGCTCAGGCTGGTGGGAGTCAGTGTTCCCACTCTGTCTCCCTCTCCATCCTCCCGCATGGCTCTCTGATAGCTGGGAGGAGTGACGGGCAGTCACTTCCTCCCAGCAGTGATCTCATCACAGGGGGCCCGGTCGCGATGTTAAAGCATTGCAGCGCTGGCCGGGCCCCCTGGAAATCCATACCTATCGGGTGGCTCTGAACGTGCGGCCCCGGCGGCTTGCCGTGTCGGCCGGGGGCGCAAAACATGGCCCCTGTGACCCCTATATGTATGCCACTGCTTAGCTTGAAACACTATGAATTTAGTGGGTATTGGTGTTTCAAAATTTGGAGCGCATGCATCTAGGGCTGACATGGCTACAAAAGTTTTTCTAGCAGGAGGCACTTTAAGTGAAGTTAAGTGATATTAGAAAAACGACTGATTGGTCATCAAAATCAACCTTGAAATCCTTATTTCCTGAATATATCCATGGCAGCACTACTGATGAGGATAGCTTCACCCACTCCTAAATTGTACAGAAACACTTCCTAAATAAACAATAAAAAGAGACTCCATCTCCTCACCCTCAGTATTTTTCCTGTCCACGTGTCAGGATCTTAACTGATGTGGAGTCCGATGTGCAGAGTTATACGCTCACCCTTGAAAATAAACACAGACCAAGGTTACCAGGTAAGAAGCCACCTGGGATGTGAGCCTGTGCATGGGGGCTGTGCAGGACATAGCTCAAAGTTGCAGTACAGGCAAGGACAAGCAGAAGAGTAGTCGTGGAAAGCCAAAGTCAGGGGAAGCCAGAGGTCAAAATAAACGATGAGATAAGCCAAGGTCAGGAGCCGTCTGGAGAACACTGGATCAAGATACACAAGTACAGGAACCATAGTCAATGAACTGACACTGCCCTCAGAGAGGGTTAATCTTCAGGTGGAACGAGACAGAGAGAGCAGCCACAGGAAAAGTCCAGCCCCCATTGCTGGAGACAAGACAAGGAAAAACATAAGGCTGAAACAAGAACTAAATTGTGGCTCAGAGGCAAAACAGCAGGCCCAGGACACAGAACGATCCAGGTTTATATCCCCTGTTGGACACTTCTGGAGTGATCATGTCTGGATGTCACGGTGAGAACCGTGACACCACTTAACATGGACACAGGATGTTTTGCACCTCCCCTATTTTATGACTTACTTGGATCTAAAAGTATCCTTAGCCCATGTGGAGTTCAGCCTCTCTCCCCCTCAGGACACAGCACCCTACCAAGGGAACCCCTAAAGCAGGGGTTCCCAACCCAGTCCTCAAGGGTGGGGCACCCTCAGGGCACTATAGTGGTCCTTTAATTATCAGTCACTTCCAGCTAAATGGAAATCCCACTATAAAATGAATTATAGTGTATGCAGGGCTTTAAAACTCACGTATTAAATGCTGACATCTCTAAATTGTTAGTTACATGACAGGACAAATAAAACACAACCCAGCTACACAGCCCCTCAAAGCCCTTCACTGCAGCCAGCAGGTGGGTGTGGCTTGCGCCTGGCTGTCAGAGTGCCAGGAAAGTTTTAAGCGCGTGACCCGAGTCTGGGCGGAAATGACGTAAAGTCGGCCTCGCGACCTGGCGGAAGTGTCGCCGAGCCTGCCGGAAGTGGCGAGTGAGCGATCTTGTCCGTTCGGAGGATGGAGGAGGAGAGCCTGGAAGCCCGTATCAGTGAGTGTTGGGTGGGGTAGGACGGTGCGGTGTGTGGCTGCTTCACCGCTGCAGGAGGTATCCTGTCACTCAAAGCTTGACAGCGGCCGCGCAGCTCGCAGGTCTCTACTTCCGCATCGAACCGTCAAAACGTCTGCCTGGCCGCCCGCCCTCCCTCCACCGGCACGTGTGACGTCACATGTTGTCTAAGTTTCTCTGCCAGAGATCTGAGCTGTGAGCTTTCTGCCCGGCCTGTCTGACTGTAACCGGGCACTGCTCCTGTCCTGCACGCCTGTCATGTGACTTGTACAGCAGATATATACTGCCAATAGAGCCTTATTACTTCTATTTGTGATTCCTCTCTAAATTACCTCCTAGTAAGGTAGGGGGTATATAACCAGCTTCTACAGAACTACAACTCCCATGACGTGTCATCAGCCTGACTGAGCACCATGGGAATTGTAGTTCTAAGACAGATAGGGAAGTACTTTTTAGCCACTGTATGTGTGTGTTGGAGGATAGGATTAATTGTCTGAAATTCAAAGTTAACTCGAAATGTTAGGACAAAAGAGCCAGACAAAAAAAAAAAAAGCTGACTTTAGGCACTTTTCTATTTAATTTTTTTGTTTATTTTGAACTTTGAATTCATTATTTAGAGGTTTTAGACACATCAAAAGTACATTTGATTTGCCTTCTTCACACATGGTTAATTGTCTGTTAATTTGGCTGCCAATCAGACCTCGGCAGATCATTGTTCTCCTACATAAAACTTTTTTTCTGTAGCGCCCCTTGTAGTTTTTTTGCAATCTGTGGGTCAGAGCTAACAATGTCTTAATGAAACATGCATGCCACATCATGTGACTTTGTTCCTGTTTGCATTCTTCTTCTGCAGATCGGGCCACAAACCCTCTAAATAAAGAGCAAGACTGGGAAGATGTTCAGGCTTTCTGTGATCAACTGAACCGGGATCTAGAAGGGTGAGAAGACTTTTTCTAAGTGTGTGGATTCACAGCAAAAGTGGGCATTACTGTGCATAATGTATAATTAACAGCATTACTAACTTGGCTATTGCAGCCTAAAACTTCAAAAATTAATTTTGATTTCATGAAATTTTCACACTTCTGTAAACTACCCAATGTTTTTCATATTTAAAATCCTAAATCATACTTCTCATTTCCTTTCAGAGACTAATGAAGTTGATTAAGAATACTTGCCATATACTACAAGCATCTTTTTAATAATTTGGCCTAAGCCTGTGGGCCAAGTTGTAGTTAGATTAGAGAAAATTTATTGATACTTACCGTAATTTTCTTTTCCTGGCTATTATTCATGGCAGCATTTAACATATGGGTTTAGCTCCTCCCTCCAACCCTCAGGACAGGAAACACAATCAATTAAACAATTAAGCCTACCTTCCCCTAGTATATTAGGTACCCCAGTATCCCCCACACCCCAGTCCAGTAACAAGACAAATAAACCAAGAGAGGGTGGGAGACCAAATGCTGCCATGAATAATAGCCAGGAAAAGAAAATTACGGTAAGTATCAATACATTTTCTCTATTCCTGGCTAATCATGGCAGCATTTAACATATGGGATTACCAAAGCAATAACCACTCAGGGAGGGTAAGTCATGCTACAAAAACTGTTTAATATCCACTTAAGGCTTATAAGAGTTCAGGACCGATAGGCCAAACTCTGAATCAGAACGAGATGAGATATCCACTCTGTAGTGGTGTACAAAGGTTTTTAAAGATGACCAATTGGCAGCTTTACAGATGCTCTCTGCAGGAACTCCTGACTCTGCAGCCCATGAAGTAGCAATGGACCTTGTGGAATGTGCCTTGATGTCCTTGGGAACTGGAACCTGTTTAGCTCTGTAAGCTTTAGAAATAGCCTGAACCGTCCAAGAACGAAGGGTTGCGACAGAGGCAGCTTCACCTTTACGAGAACCCCAAGGTATCACAAACAATTGGGTAGACTTTCTCCAATCAGCTGAGCGTGAAATATATGTGGAAAGACACCTCCTTAGGTCTAGCGTATGACATCTTTCTTCCTAAGGAGACGATGGCTCCTGTGGACTGGAAAGGAAGGTCTTTTCTTATGTAAATCTCCAAAGTGTCTGTCAGAAGCTGAACATTCTCTGGTTTCTTCCGGCAAATCCAATGTTCTTCTAACAGCCATAATCAAATGCTCCATAGCTTTGGAGTCCAAGGAGCAAGGTTGTTCCATATACTCCTCTTCACTGGATGAGATTGGCTCCAAATCCAGGTAAGATGAAGTCTGTCTGTATTCATCGTCAGACTGATCTGAATCCACGCCAAAGTTTTCCCCTCTTGATCTCTTGATCTTGTGGGATTCAGCAATTCCCTCAACCACTGCCTGCTTAATCCAATAAGCAATATCCTTGGCTGAGGAGGTAGAGGCTTGTGGTGACCTCTGGCGATCAGATTCTCCTGCGACCATGGTTAAGCATTTCCTGCAGAGCCTGCAGTTATCCAAAGGCCTTGCTCCGCATCCAGGGCAGGCTGCCGGTTTCTCCCTTCTCCTCGATGGGGATCTGGGACAGGACCGGTCACGAGGGCTGTAAGATACAGAAGTCATAAGACTGTACCCTCTTTTTAGTAACGTGAAGAAACCAAGAACAAATATTGCTCACCTATGACCTATAGCAGATCTCGTTGATCTTGCAGAAGGGGATGAAGGATCCATACTGACTGTAGGGCTAAGAACAATAAAATAATAAAAAAATGTATTCCCAGCCCAATATTATGAAGATTTCAAAATATAAGTAATATAAGTAATTCTCTTACCTGCAGAGCTTTAAGAACAGTCTACTAGAGCACTGTATCTTTAAAGGGAACTGAAACGAGCGTTTTTTAGGCTAAACACCGCCATTTCAAATTTCCCGCTCTGTACCTTTAAATGATCGCGCATGCGCACTTCGGTCGCGAGATCGCTAAACCGCCATTTTGGAAAGGGGCAAACTTCACTCTGGGTCCGGTCGGACGCATTGCGCATGCGCGAGCGTCTTACCCTTATGCTGATCGTCTGATCGAGGTCTGCAGCACACACTGGACGGCAGAGGATTCCCACAGCCTGTGGAACTAACCACCCAGGCTCCCAGGGGTTCCCAACTCCATGGAGATTGGGCTACATGTGCCTGGGCTTCCTGAGGAGGGAGGCTGACCTCCAAAGGGACAAGACCATATAAAACATGGTCAGGTGAGCAAAAAATCAGTCAGAAGAGAAAAAAAAATATTTAAACTGTCCTAGGGCTAGGAGGACCGGAAAAGACTGAGGTGTGGGGGATACTGGGGTACCTAATATACTAGGGGAAGGTAGGCTTAATTGTTTAATTGATTGTGTTTCCTGTCCTGAGGGTTGGAGGGAGGAGCTAAACCTATATGTTAAATGCTGCCATGATTAGCCAGGAAACAGGAAATTAGGCAATGTGTCTACTTTTACTAGTTTAAGAAATGTGTTTTAGGAATGTGTGGTTTTGCCATTGATCATGTGCTGTTATATAAAAATTTTTTTTAATGTTTTGTTCTTGTGCCCATACATCTGTGTGGTAACTTGATAATGTTGTATAGAGGACCTTAGTTTCCAACTTTTGTAAACTGTACCTCGCAAGGTTCTAAGTGTTATAATGAAGCGCTTGACTCTAAGCATTTTGCAAGATGCACTTAAAGCAAAGTCGTGAGCCAGGTAGCACGACCCAGGGAATTCCAAAACAGAGAGCAGCATAAGAAAAGGTTCAGGAAAGGAGTGCAAAATCAGATGCGTAGGTCTAGGAAGGCATGTAAGAGATTTGTATGTATGTGTTTAGAATGGATGGCTGCAATGTTGAGGAGTGGTATTGATAATCTGCGTCTGTCATGTTTTCTGTAGCATATTGTGCTTTATACATTTTAAATTGTATAAACCCCTACCTTGTTTACATTTCTAGCAGTCAAAAAGATTAATGGCATCACTGGTCGTATTAGACAAATGTACTTTCTGCCTTCCAGATGCTGTTAACCCCTTAAGGACCAAACTTCTGGAATAAAAGAGAATCATGACATGTCATGTGTCCTTAAGGGGTTAAGCTCGGAATGTAGTGAAAGAAGACACAAATGCACTTAAATTGCAGTTGAAATTAGATGGTGTAATAGGCTAATGGGCACATCAAAAAGTAAACAAATGTTAGTTTGAGACTCTGATCATGACATTAGGCATTTATTTGACTCCTGTGACAGGGTAACAGTCCCTGAATTAATGCAAGTGAGTCAACTGATCAGCAACTACATTTTGTGTGGGAAACCCTCTATATAGCAACATCTAGAATTGGCTATTGCAGATGAAGCAGTGGCCCAGGGGCTGTGAAGCATGCAGTACACTGTGTGGTATTTGCTGTCCTATATTTAGCCTTGATGCTAGTAGGTGAGTCAGACAATGATTACAGTTTCGACCATCTGACCTCTATATCTACAATATAAATCCTCATACCGATAGTAACCATATTCGTGTTTTTGTCTTTGTCTGTGGCCATTAGATCATCACTTTATCTGGGATGCCAGATTCATTGGGTTTACTGGTGATGTGTCCGATCATCTGGTTAATTCAGGGGCCACAGGCATTTTAAAGAAACTTCCACCCTAATGTTCATTGCTTCACACATGGACAATTTGTTCATTTGATTTTTTATTTTTTTTCTTATGCAATCTGTATTGTGCATTTGCAGTACTTTTCTTTTGCTGCTCGAGGGGCTGTGCACTGTTTTGTATTTTCTCATACAGAATTTGCTCTCATTTATATTAATCAATGTCTTGGTTCTGTTTAACATTAGTTTTTTTTTTTTTTGGTTTTTTTCACATTTTATAAATTCGCAATAATGTTTTTAGTGTTTTGGCTTTTTTGAGTATCAGACTTCACCATGTATGTCTCCTGGAGCTTTCTATGGGAGATGTCATTGGCATACTCACTGATTTCTCTTTGGGGCACCTGCATTCCCCAATTCTTGTTCATTATGTAACTCATGAGCATACAGATACAAAAGGACATGAGGGCACTATTTAAACGAGCTTACAGTCAAAAGATTCTATTAACTTTAAACCACAGTTTTCAGTACTATATTTAACTTTATTGTAAATGTGAATGCTTATCTAGAATTACAAGACACAACTGGGGTATGTACGTAATTGGATGTCTCTGGGCCGTCAACATCTTGTATATATTAAATAGGGGTTTCTCACATACATCGTTCATAATGATGCCAAAGATAGGTTGTCACCTCCTCCTCCTTACTAAAACAGGTAGATCTGCAAAGCCAACATTTTAAAAATATAGCGCTAGCAACCACTTATGTGCTCCCCTATTAGAAACCATAAAATCCCCAGAAGTCTGTACATCTGGACACATGTGCTGGAAATACCTTTGTTTCTTTTCAAGGTTGTAACATCTTCAGAGATGCCGGTCTGTATCTGGGGAACACTTGCAACTATTCCAGCTAAAACCAGACATGGCAGTGTTGCCATGGATAGTCCTGGGAAGCTGCTCCTTTTATACCTGGAATGCTAGCCCTGTGAGGTTATAGCATTCCATTTGTGTCCCTATAGTTCTGGCAAGTGAACAAGTGTATTATATTATACATGTGATGTCATGGCCATACAATTTTTATTTTTGTAGACAGATGGTTTAACTCCAAAATCAAATTGTAAACCAATCACCAGATAAGTGGTAATTGCTGTCCCAGAAGGTGTTGTCTGTCTTGGATAACTTTTCCATTGGCCTTGATTTCCTCGCATTAAATCATCATCTGATGAAGATGATGTAAGAGGAATCTGTGTCTTGGATGAAAAAGATATTTGCCAGTTGTTATGAAAGTCTCCCCGGTAGGGCATCCAGAAGACACATACAGGAATAAAAGACTTTTCAGTTGCATCCATATCTTAAATATGTTTTTAAGAAACCTTTTATTTTTAAAATGTTTAAGACCATTTTTTTTATAACAAAGAATGAGGTGAGAGGAAAGTCCTAGTTAACTTGGGCAATGATCAAAATCACACTACTAAACCACTATTCCCATAGAAAATCTGCCAATGTTAAATATCCAGTGAATGGAGAACTGATTCTACTCCGTGTAAATCTTAGTTTACTGCTGCCTCTCAGACTATAGTTCTTATTGCGGTTTCTTAATATGTAAATCACAAAGGATTTGGCTTAGTGATCTGGAAGATTGTTAGAGGAAGGACTCTAATGAGGATCCAGTCAAGCGGCTTAAAAATATTAATATGAGATACCACATTGGAGAGTTTAGGATTTGCTTCCAGGTCCATTGCCCTAGTTATAGTTATTAGACAGTTTGGATAAAATCCTGGTAACGCCCTGTGCATCAGAATAATTTATGTAACCTGCCCTTGGAATAACCTATTCTCTTTGTGAAGAAAAAATATTACTCAAAGATTAAAAAAATAAGTTAATGGAACACTATAGCATTAGAACTAGATGCAGAAATAAAAACAAATTTGGCAGATCAGATTCCATACTTAACAAAGATTTGGAGAAAATGTCAGAAATAAGTCAAACAATCAGAAAGAGATGTGATAACATCTTTTGTGCCATGTAACATACAGGTGGTCAAGATGGTTCACTCTTTTGTAAGTGAGACTCTGGGGATGGTGCTAGTATCCATTGGTCCCATACTGGATACTGGAGCATACAGATTAAATATGAAGACATGTATGTGTAATTTTGCCACAAGCTCTAACATTCTTGAATACGTGTCAAAGGTCACCAGGTGTTAAGTTACATAGCTGAAAAGAGACATACGTCCATCAAGTCCAGTCTCTCACATTTGTTTTTGTTGTTGATCCAAAAGAAGACAAAAAACCCAGTCTAAAGCGCTTCCAATTTTGCAACAAACTAGGAAAAAAATTCCTTGTTGACCACAGAATGGCAGTTAGATTTATCCTCTGATCAACAAGCTTCACTAATTAAAAAACTATATCCCTGCATATTATGATTTTGCAAGTATTTATCCAATTGCTGTTTAACCTGTGTAGACTCTGATAAAGCCACCTCTTCTGACAGAGAATTACATTGTTCTTACTATATAAAAAAAAAAAAAAAACCTTTCCTTTACCTTTGATTAATCTCCTTGTTTCTTCCAGTCTAAATGCGTGCCCTTTTGTGACGTCTTTTTTTTTTTTTTTTTCAGAGGTTCAGAAAACCACTCTGTCAATTTTTACAAGTTGAAAGGGACATCTAATAATATTTGGCTCAGTAGCTTATCAAAGAAAACTTAAAAAAATTGTACATGGGAGTACTCATATTCGTGAGACAATGAGTAATAAAAATAATGATGCTTTATTGCACTAAATCGTATCAGGATTATGAAATTTCCTGTGAAAATTGAATTTGTGTGTGGGGACAAAACAAAAAATATAACTAAATGGGGCCATCTTTTGTGTTAATGTGGCTAGGCCAAACAACTCAAATTATCCCATTTGGAATTTAATATGCCATCATGGAGGCAATTTTTTTTTTTTTTTTTTTCCTTCCTGGGCTGCCAGACTTTCTCAAAGATGACAGAGGCCCAGAAAATGACTTTGTCCAATTTCCAAGTTGAAAATGGCAATCTAATATATTTGGCCCTGTGACTTCCACCAAACATTTTGCAAAACTGGTACATGTGGATAATGTTATAGTTGAGAGAAAATGTTATATCTAAATATTGAGACATGGGGTTGGGGCCTGATGTTCAAGATGGCCAGACATATATCTCAATAGCTATCGAGGAATCGTGCTTAAAAACCCAAGACACAGGCTGTTTGTTAAATCAGTCCAGCAAAGGTTTCTACGCCTGATCTGGACTATCTTGTTATACCTTGATCCTGATTAAGGGCTTTTCGGGCTGCTAGGGTAAGAGGTGGCAGATCTCATCCGGGCGGTGTGCGCCGGTACCAGTTAATACACTCTTGAAGCCCCGTCACCCTACCCCCCCGGACCAGTGGGAATTATCCTGTTCTCCACCAGGATGGTAAAAACTCTGCCCTTCAAGCCGACAACCCTGTGGTCCTTGTCGCCGCCACGCTGAACCCCATCAAGGGCCATGCTAGCCCGCTGGGCAAAGACTAGACAGAGTTGTTTTTAAACCATATTTGATGGTCTGACAAAAATTCTGGCATTACATCTACAGCAAAGCCAATATACTCACCCCTCCAGCTCCTCAGCCAACCCAGAGCAATGGTTTCATAGCCCGTACCTCTTCTGGGCCGGTGGCCCACTCAGGTTTCTCCAGCTCATCCCAACATACCCAGGGTTTGCTTCAAAATATGTTGAACATACGATCATATTGTCTGTGTGGTGTGGATGCATGGGCCACCAATTCAGGCTTGGGGCCGAGATGACACAGAGCTACCGCCCTTCGGTACCAGTTATGCCCTGCAGAGGTAAAATCAGCAACATCTAGAGGCCCTGATAGCGGAGAGTGGGAACACTATGCTCCAGCTACTTCCCAATATTGGAAAACTTATGAATGGGGACTCTTTCAAGTTAAGGGCATAATACTTTCCTGCTCTGAGTGGTCTCAGTCTTCTTAGACTATTTTTGCTTTTGACCTGTTGTTTTTTTTTTTTACTCGTTCATAAGGCTTGAAGTGTTTTCATGGAACTGATGTTCAGTCCTGGTAGTCTTCCCTTTCACTCATGTGCAACTCTAAGCTATAGCTCTCTCAGCCATAACACTCTTACCTACTACTATGATCAGAATATCCTGCTACTTCTACTCTCTCCGTTGCACTCATTGCATCCTAAAGACATGTATACCTGCATCTCACTACCTTTTACTACTATTGTTTGTTACAGCTCTAGACATGTGAAGTTAGGTTTTCTACTTGATATTCTAAAATGTGCAACACCTCTCCAAATAATACACTATGTATATAGAAGGTTCACATGTATATGCTGTCGGGGCATCGCATGTATGTCTGTAATCGCCTATGTTCACAGAATGTGTTAAAAAATAAATAAATAAATAAAAATTATATAATATATTGCGCACACACTCTGAAATGCCCTGTAAGTTCGTGTGTGGGGGGGGGAAGCACAAAATAAAAAGTATAACCACTAAATGGGGCCTGAATATGTGATAAAGTGGCTAGAGCACTTTTTTTTTTCCCCTGAAAAAGCAGTGTATACATTAAAAAGCCTACAGGAACAAGGCTGCACACACCAGAACAACTGCATTAAACTGTAGTCCTTGAGATAAATCAAGTGTCCCTTTTAAGTATAAGTTCATTTGCTGACTACTAAAACAAGATATGAGAGCATAAAAAGTATGTGATATATCCTATGACACAATGAGTTTTTTTTTTTTTGTGCAATATAAAACCAATTTTAAAATGTAAACATATTACATTATTTTGATGTACCTTTTTTTTGTTCTGTTTTCATTTATGTTCTTGTGAACATTGACTCTTCCAGACCTCAGCTTGCAACCAGACTTCTGGCGCACAAAATACAGTCCCCGCAAGAATGGGAGGCTATGCAAGCACTCACGGTAATATTACCACCTTTCATTAATGTGTGTTAAATAAAATTAAAAACATTAATAGGGAACTGTCACTTTTACACCATTTACCAAAACATTAAAAATAATCTATAACTTGATATTCTTATTAGTGTGTTGAAATTTCTCTCTCTGTTTCTAAATTTAAAAGGACTCCCTGCTTCATTAGTTCTTTAATGCATTTGATAGGCTTGGGCTTCATTAATATGCATGCTAAAATCTTTGATTTTTGCTGCACTATAAGATTGCCTCTTTAGCCACACCTCCTCGCTCCTTATCAAAAAGACATGCGCACAGCTCAGACACTAACATACAGAACAACAAATCAACATCCATTAGAAGGAGAGGACACCCAAGAAGACATATAGTAATGATAATACTACCTGTTTATAGTTTCTTTGACTGCCTGCTGCCCACTGGGGAATTTAAAAGTAGCTCACTTAGTGCTGTTGGGGCTGAGACTGTGAGCATACATTTGACAAGGAAGTCTTTCTGGCATGAGGTGATGTAGCTAAAGAGGCAGGCTTATGGTGCAGCATTCTGCAAAATATTTTTGTGCAAAAACTATAAAGCTTTGACTATGCAAAAAAATCTATCAAGTGCATTAAAGCTGTATTGGTGTGCTTTTTCTTCATGGTGTCGCCATGCTTTTCCCTATTATTATATTGTTAGCTCATGGATGCTTCATCTATTTCCCTACTTTGTCTACTGTGTGTTTTGTGATTGTTTTGGAATTTTAGTGCTAGCACTCTGTATATGTTAATTGTGTAAATGTATATCTGTATGCATTAAATAAATACACACCAAAAAAAAGAAAATTGTAACCATGGTGATGTTGCAGGGTTTGTTTAATGCTGGGGGTATTTGTAATTGCTGACTGGAAACAGCGGAACAATTATTTTTCTTTTCAAAGTTTTCTTTTTAGTTGGCAGCATTTGTGCACCCACGCACTTAAAGGACCACTTCACTGTAGAGAAATAAAACAATAAAGATCTAGTGTCTGCAGCTATTGCAAGCACTCTCCTCTCTCGCAAAGTTTGTGTTGGCAAATTTACCTCATTGAGAATTCTGTGTGGTATAGCATGGCGTTTAATTCATTCTTCTCTCAATGAGCGGTGTTAAAGCTCATTGAGAAGTGTTAGCAGGTGTGCTCTGATTCATAGAGGAGAAAGTATTTCAGCAGCAAACTTATAAACATGCTGATTTTTCACTTGAATAGAGGTTATAAAACCTACTTTTTTTTTTTTTTTCATTTGTAAATTTATTGGAATTATTTTCTAAATAAAAATGTAAATACATGCTAAACAAATCTGCACTTGTAGAAATTGGGGGATGGGGGAGGCACACTATAACATTTTGTGATTTCACTACTATTTTATACATCTTTATTTCTTAACATTTATTATAATAGTTCATATACTATGCTGTAACAGGTCCTGGAAGCATGTATGAAAAACTGCGGCAAACGTTTTCACAGCGAGGTTGGAAAATTCCGGTTCCTTAATGAGCTGATAAAAGTAGTATCCCCAAAGGTAAGTTTGTTTTGTTTTTTTAATACATTTTTCCCATCAAGATATTGGGAAAAGTACCAGTTAAACCTGTTGCTCTTCTATAGGTTAACATCCATGTCATCCAGCCGATGCTGTATGTTGTAAACCAGGAGTAGTCAACCTTTTATTATCTACAGCCCACTTTTGTATCTTTGTTGATGGTAAAACTTTTTTTTTTTTTTTTGCTGTTTGTGTAAGGGGGGCAATGTGTGTTTGTGTGTTAAGGGTGTTTATGCTGTGTGTAGGTGGGTGAGATGTGAAAATCTATCTTAATTAGAGTTGAGCGGACACCTGGATGTTCCAGTTCAGCCGAACTTCGGCAAAAGGTTCAAGTTCGAACTTTTGGGCACTAAAATGGCTCTAAAAATGTCATGGAAAAGGGCTAGAGGGCTGCAAAAGGAAGTAAAATGTATTGCCTAAGTACTAATATACTTACCCAGTGGAAGAAGAAGAATGTTACACTGTATACAATTTTAAATAAAAAGTATACAAACATAGCCAGAATTCAGCTGTAAGTATTTGCAACACTTACAACAATCAAGTAACACACATTCATATAAAATGTAAGTTACTTGGCCAGTAAATGTAATGACAGGAATTAATCAGTCGATAACTCCCTAATTCCCACAGTATTAGAGAGCCATCTACTAAAAGGCTGAAAGACCTGAATTGGTCTTTCAGTGAAATTTATTAATACTAAGTAAAGATTACTTAGTACTAGTAAATTATGCCCCTACTCGCTATACCGCGAGTAGGTGCATGTCTATTAAACAGCCTATGGCTGCTCACTGTTAAAAAATAAATAAAAAAAAAATAAAAATAAAAGTTGCCTCCACCCCTGAACAGCGGGTGGGGGCCCTAAAGTAAAATATTGGGGGAACTATTGTCCTCCGGCCCCCAACCATGAGCGGCTGGTCGGGGCCCTAAATACCAATAAGGGGGGGGCACCTATTGTCCTTCCCCCTGGCCCCCACTCTTGAGCGGCAGGTGGAGGCCCTAAATTAGAGTAAGGTGGGGGACCTACTGTCCGACCCCCACCCCTGAGCGGTGGGTAGGGGCCCTTAATGTAAATTGGGGGCGGGGGGCCCTAATTTCCTCCCTCCTGGCTCCCACCCCTGAGTGGTGGGTGGGGGCCCTAAATAAAAATTTAACCCCCCTCCCCAAAAAAATTAACCCCTACCTACCCTCCTCACCCTAAAAATAATGAGGGGTGACCTTTTAACTAAGTACCTGTATGGGAGGGTTACATTTTTATTAAGGGTGGGTATTTAGGGCCCCCACCCACTGCTCAGGTGTGGGGGCCAGGGGGGGAGGACATTAGGTTCCCCCCCTTATTCTAATTTAGGGCCCCCACCCACTGCTCAGGTGTGGGGGCCAGGGGGGGAGGACATTAGGTTCCCCCCCTTATTCTAATTTAGGGCCCCCACCCACTGCTCAGGTGTGGGGGACGGGGGGAGGACATTAAGTCTCCCCCCTAATTGGTATTTAGGGCCCCCACCCACCGCTCAGGGGGGAGGACAATACATTTCCCCCCATTATTTTACTTTATGGCGCCCACCCGCTGTTTGAGGGTGGTGGCCGGGGGGAGGACAATAGGTCCTACCCCCTTTTTGTTACTTTAGCCCGCAAGGCTTTCTGGGATGTTACATCTAACTTCAACCCCTTAAGGACACATGACGGAAATATTCCATCACGATTCCCTTTTATTACAGAAGTTGTGTCCTTAAGGGGTTAAGAAATGTAAGTGTACAAACATTCATTGCTCCATTCATATTTATTTTACAATGTCTTAATCTCGTGCTGAAACCAAAATAAAGAAAAATGTCAATCTCTAGATTTGTTAGAAGTGTAGATCACACAATCCTGATATACTGCATGATCGATCCACTTTAACAGCTAGTAATCTCTTCTCAGACACATCCTCAAGTCACACTAGTCTAGGGTTTTATAAATATCCCTTTAGGAAAAAAGATGAAATCCCTAAATCCTGAAATCTTTTTGTCAACTTTAAATCCAGTGGAGCTGTGAAATGTATACATTTCAATCTTTAAAGGCTTTTTTTGATCCATAGTTCATGAAGGTTAAGTGCACAAACAGATAATAATTTTTTTTTTTTTTTCATTATCATCAACAGTCCTAATTGCTTTGGCCTGGCAGCATTCTAATTAATTGCTGCACTGCAGTGGATTATATTTACATATACAGATGAGTCAGTTACATTTAGAGAACTGCACTACTATTCTTTTCATTTGCTGTTTAGGTAACTGGTTTTCACACAGCCTTATATTGTTCCCTCTGTACATTTCAAGTTTAGATTCTTGATAATTCTACAAGGTTCCTATATATGGATACTCCAAGCACCCTGACCTGTTGGGTATAAAGTGTTTTTTTGTTAATTATTTTTGCTTGGTAGATATTTATTCACTTATATTTAAAGGAGCACTGTAACTGCTTAATTTTGTTTACGTGGTTATAATGTCCATCCATTCAGGGCAAAACTGTTTTATTTCTAAATTAGAAAAGAGTCCCTAGCATCCCATCCTCTTTTTTCTGTTTGGGCTAGTGAGGAAGCCTTAGCCTGAAAAGCACTGGAGAGCAGTAATTGGCTGAGAATGTCGACTACCTCTCTCAGTCTATCACAACTTACTTACTGATCTGAATTGTTATGCTTAGAAGGAATTGTGTAATCTCTGGTTTAGCCATACCTCCAGTACGGACCACAATTCCAACGGTGGCGACAATAGGCATTTTTGGAGGTATTGAGTCAGCTTGGTGTGCCAAGGTTGTTGTTGGGGGCGCCTGCTGCATTTAAATGTAGGAGGTGCGATGATGTCTATTTGAGAGGAGAGGTTGGAATTGTAGAAGGAGGTTGAAAAGCTAGGACAGGTGAGGTTTGAGATAGGTAAAAGAAGAGTTTGGAGATTAGTGGAGAAATGCTCTAGGTCAAGACATTGGAGGTTTATGTGAGATTGATGTTCAGACGGTGGTGTCAATTGCGTCTTCGGTATGCCGATGTCAAAAGTCAGCAGATGGTGGTCAGAGGGAAAGGAATATTGGAGAGATTATAGGCAGTGCAGAGATTGGTGAAGGCGAGCTCAAGAGTGTTTACCGCTGTATGGATTGCTAAATTGGACCATTGCATAAGGCCAAAGGAGGAGGTTACAGAGAGCAGACGAGAGGAATCAGTGCAATTCGTGTTGTTGATTGGGATATTGAAATCCCCAAGTACAAGGGAAGGAGTGCTAGATGAGAGGAAGTGGGGAAGCCAGGAAAGGTGCTCAATGAATAGGCTAGGATGACCGGGGGGCGGTAGATGATAGCAATTCTTGGGTGGGTTTAAATAGGCAGACAGTGTGAACTTCAAAAGAAGAAAAGGTTAGGGCAGGGGGAGTTATGATTGGTTGAAAGGTATATTGAGGGTAAAGAAGGATGCCTACACCAACTCCTTTACAGTTGAGTCTGGGAGTGTGAGAGAATTGTAGCCCACCAAAACATAAAGAGGCAGGAGTAGCGTTATCAGAGAGGGACAGCCAGGTCTCTGTAAGTGCAAGTATTGTGTGGGAGTTTGAGATGAAAGTCGTGTATGGCTGTTGATTTTAAATTATTGCAGATGGAGCAGGCATTCCAGAGTGCACACTAAATGTTGTCAAGTGAGGGTTGTAACGGAACGCCTGGCAGCCCGACTGGGTACCTTCCGCTGACGGATGCTCCTAGTATTCACCGAGGGCTCCAAGCACTCCGCAATACACCATAGCCACTGCATACCCCTCGAACCGCCGCAGCTTGGTTGGGGTCTCGCCGTCCTCCACCCACTCTGGACCCAAGATCAGGCTTCAGCTTCCAGTGGGTGAACCTCTCCTAATTCCAGAAAGCAGGAACAAGCTCTTAAAAGCTTTTGTGTTTCTTGTTTAACCAAATAGCCTATAATGTCTACTATGTTTTGTTTTCTATGATGACTTTAAAACTTAGACGACAAAAAATGAGAAAAGTAGGACACCCACATAGCAAAAATGTCAAAATTGCTTGTGTCATGAAGTACAAAATAAGCAAATTAAAGCTGTATGTAAGGGCTTAACCTATGTTGCAAAATAATTAACTTAAATGTTTTAAAAAGAAACTAGCAAGTTTCATTAAATGTACTTTCTCTATAGTATCTAGGCTCTCGATCTCCAGAGAAAGTGAAGCTAAAGATTCTGGAACTTTTGTATAGTTGGACTTTAGGACTTCCAAATGAAGTTAAAATCTCAGAGGCCTACCAGATGCTAAAAAAGCAAGGTGAGTTAGTGGGACGTGTGAATCAAGACAAACTTGTGCGACTGCCGGTATGAGCTTATATAAGAAATGTATCACAGTCACCCAGACTAAATAATGGCTTTTTTTTTTTTTTTTGCAGGTATATTGAAAGAGGATCCAAAGTTACCCCCTGAAGCCATGATCCCACCTCCCCCTCCACGACCAAAAAATGCTATATTTGATGATGAAGATAAGTCTAAGGTAATGTGTTTAACTGCGCGCTCCTTATGTTTTTTGACTTGATTTTATATTTAAGCATGTTTACACTTTTTTTCTCATGTGACAATTTATGAGCTCATCAGTCCAATTTCCTTGAGAAAGAGTGGATTAAATATTCTATACTCTAAATATACTCTTATACAATTTCTCTACCAAAATGTTTTTGTGGTTTTTTTTTTTTTTTGGTTTTTTTTTCTTTACATGTTTCTTTTTGACCTTTCCCTGACGTTTGCATTTTCTGGTTCTGCATACTTTTTTTTCTTCTATGGCAAATCCGCACTTGATTTGAGATCTCATGTCCTTTCTGAAGTCATTAAATAACTTGTCTTTCCGTTTTCTCTTCATGCATGTAAAATCTATCTGCACTCTTACTTGTCTTCATCTTTACGCTCAGAAACTGTACATTCTGAAGCACAGGAGGCTGCATCTAAATAGGGGGTAACAATCTATACAAACAGGTTGATTTTATTAAAAAATAAACTAATCAATGTTATGGGACAGGATATACAGTGAATCTCACAGTAAAAGGTCTTTCAGTGAGGGGCATTGTAAAAAGGAAACAAAAAAAAGGGGAAATATGTTTTATCCTCTGTACATCCCCAAATAAATATTAAAATATTAGTTGTAAATACTCCTCTTTTATGTTTTAAGAGATAAATGAAGTCTGGGCGGTAAAGTTTATAATGTTTCTTTAAACATCACAGATGTATAGAGTCAGAAACATATAGCCCTGCCCCCCTAAGTTATAGTAAAATCTTACTGTTATTCCAGTCTGCTGGTGCTGGCTCTGCCGCTTATCTGCCTCCTAAAGTCTTGAACTTTAGTTTCTTAATTTTCCATTCTCACACTCAGTACTTTATGTATTTTCAGTTGACATACTGTACTATAACGTTACTTCTTCCCTTATCCAGATGTTAGCTCGACTCCTGAAGAGTTCCCATCCAGAAGATTTAAGGGCTGCTAATAAGCTGATTAAAGAGATGGTCCAGGAGGTAATACGGTATTTCCAAATTAAAATTTGTACCTTAACCATCTGAAAAACTGTTTACAGAAGCAAGTTGTTTAACCTTGTTCTGAAATATTTAATGACTGAACTCTGATGGTGTTTGTATTTCCTTGATTGACATTCTTCGAATGGTGTAAAGTTTTCCCTTTTCTCTGGTTTATGACAAAAAAACTGTGAATCTTTATTTAATGGTTACTTGTATATCTGTTTTTTTGCAATATTTAATTGCATGTATACTGATTTTGTAACTCTGTCTCTTGCTTTCAGTTTGAGTACATAAAGCCACATGTTTCTTGTTCGTATTTAATAGTGCTATACAGTTAACTGCCATAGCCTGCTTTTTGTATTGTAACAAACCAAATCTGTACATGGCATACAACAGGGCTCGACAAAATCAAATTTCGCCCATGCGCCTGGAATTTGCCTGCCATTTAACTAAAGGGGTCGGCTGGTTCAAACATTGGCCCTGGGGAGTGTGGAGGCAACCGGCTTAGGCAGCATTGTTGGCGGGTGGCCGGCTGCCCCAGAAAGCATGGGGGCAGTCGGCTCAGGTTGCATTGTAGCTGGCTGCCTGCCCTGGGGAACATGGAGGAGGCCGGCTCAAGGTGCATTGTAGCTAGCTGGCCGTTAATCTGTAGTGGTTCTGGTGACGATAGTGTCCCATTAAGAATTGCATCATAATTGCTTTGTCAAGCCCTGGCATGCAAGAAATTTTAAATATATGGGGATGGTGTGTAGCTCATTGATACAAAAATATTACGTGCCAGTTAGGTTAAGTTTTAGAAGAGCTTGGAGGTGCTTCCTGGCTCAGTGCTGCAAAGTGGGCTGCTCTGCCGTTCAGCGCCCTCACTCTCTGCATGGAGATGCTGAATTTTCCTCATTCATTCAGTGCATCTCTATGAGGAGGTGCTGATTCGCCAAAACGGCATTTGGTCCTGCCCCTAGACCATTTTAGCCAATCCAATGTTTTTCCTATGGCTAAAATATGCAATTCTGATGTCACCAAGGGGGCAGGGCCAGTGCCGGCGGACCCGCACTACGCTGGAAATAAGGTGAGGTTTTTCATGCTTTTAAGTGGGGTAAGGGTGGGTTTAGCACTATAGGGTCAGGAATACATGTTTGTGTTCCTGACCCTGTAGTGTTCCTTTAAAACAAATGTAATTTCCTAGGATTTTTTATATTGTATCCCCAGTAAATATTATTATAATATAAAACACATGTATTTGTGAGAAGTGTAAATATGTAAATGTAGGAATCAACACCTTTATCCTGCAAGTGACTGCCTCCATCTTAGCTCCCTGTATAAGCTTTGTCTTTTGCACCTGGCAGTTAGTTAGTATATTACTTTTTCAGGATTAAATAAGATCAAAAGGTGGGCTGTCAAGTCAGTTTGAAAAAAGTTTAATGAAACATACAAATTAGGTGCAAATGAATTGCTAATTCCTGTGTTTGCACTTACGAAGTTGGTGGAGTTTGTTTTTTAGTCAGCATAGATAAAGTATGCAGAAATAGGAGAAATGAAACAATGTTTTTATTTCTCTTCCTCATTAGCAATGTATCCATGGGCTGTGCAAGGACTGAAGTCTATTGCAGTGTCTTTTGTAAAATGTTTAAACACTTTGGGAATTTCCATGCTGCTCTGCAAGTAGTTGCATTGAAAGCCCTTAGGTCTGTGGAGACTCTGGTATCAATTGATAACTGACACTAAGTAGAAGTATAGATCAGGGTGTTGCAGTGGATGTGATCTATTTGGATTTTGACAAAGCATTTGATACAGTTCCACACAATAGATTAGTGTTCGAACTCAAGGAAATCGGTCTAGATGAAAATGCTTGTTCTTAGGCAGAACATTGGCTTAAAAACAGAGTACAAAGAGTTGTCATTAATGGTAAATTTTCAAGTCTGTTCTGGGACCCCTTCTATTTAACATGTTTATAAATGATCTTTAAGACCGCATTGAAAGTCACGTTTCAGTGTTTGCAGATGACACAAAACTCTGTAAAATAATACAATGTGAGCAAGATATTACTTTGTTGCAAAGGGATTTAGATAGACTGGGCACTCTAATGGCAGATGAAATTTAATGTTGAAAAATGCAAAGTTATGCACTTAGGTGTAAAGAATACACAAGCAACGTATACCCTTAATGGAGGCGAATTAGGGTTTACATCACATGAAAAGGACTTGGGAATCGTTATAGACAACAAACTATGCAACAATGTGCAATGTCAATCCGCAGTGGCCAAGGCCAGTAAGGTATTGTCATGCATGAAAAAGGGCATTCATTCTCTGGATGAGAATATAATTTTGCCTCTTTATAAATCACCACAATTGTGGTAAGACCACATATTGAACATGCTGTGCAATTTTGGGCACCTGTTCTAAAGAAGGATATTATGGCACTAGAAAAAGTGCAGAGGCGGGCTACAAAATTAATAAAAGGAATGGAACATATCAGCTATGAAGAAAGGTTAATAAATTTAAACCTATTTAGTTTAGAAAAACGTCGCCTGAGAGGGGATATGGTAACATTATACAAATATATTCGGGGCCAATACAAACCATTGTGTGGAAATCTATTCACAAACCAGACTTTACATAGGACACGAGGTCATGCCTTTAGACTGGAAGAAAGAAGATTTCGTCTAAGGTAATGGAAAGGGTTTTTTCACTGTAAGAACAATAAGGATGTGAAATTCTCTGCCTGAAGAAGTGGTTTTATCAGAGTCCATACATATGTTTAACCCCTTAAGGACCAAACTTCTGGAATAAAAGGGATTCATGACATGTCATACATGTCATGTGTCCTTAAGGGGTTAAACAGCTGCTAGATGCATACTTGCAAAAACAGAATATTCAAGGATATAATCTTTCAATGTAGGGTAATAACTACTTGATCCAAGGATAAATCTGACTGCCATTCTGGGGTCAAGAAGGAATGTTTTTTTCCTAGCTTGTTGCAAAATTGGAAGTGCTTCAAGCTGGGTTTTTTGCCTTCTTTTGGATCAACAGCAAAAAACAAATGTGAGGAAGGCTGAACTTGATGGGCGCAAGTCTCTTGTCAGCTATGTAACAACTGGGACCATATTTACTGGCCCCAGACTGACACATGAGCTGCATGCAGTGCTCCAAGTGAGCATTGCGTATTGCTTTTTAAATCACTGCAGCTTAACCCCCTTAAGGACACAACTTCTGGAATAAAAGGGAATCATGACGGAATATTTCCGTCATGTGTCCTTAAGGGGTTAACCAACATCCTGTGCGATCAGTATCTAAGGTAAGAAGGTGGGCCAGATTGTTATGGATATGCTATGCCACCCTATTGGGGCTACAACCCCTTTCTTAAGTTGGTCAGTATAGCACGCCCTAACGTTGGCAAACGGTTAATCAGGTCCTGGTCCTGATGAAAGTTTTTAATGGAAAACTGCAACATTGACAAATAAAAGTTAAAGGGACATTATAGGCACCAAAACAACTTTACCTTAAAGTGTTATTGTCTAGAATAGATCATGCCCTTTAAGTGTCACTGCTCAATTCTGACATTTTGGGGTTAAATCACTTTGTTTACACCTTACTGCATGTGACTTGCACAAACTTCCTAAATACTTTTTCTGTAAAGATACATCTAATGTTTAAACCTAGTTTATTGCACATTAAGTTTAATTTAGAATTTCATATCTCCTGTGCTTTTAATAGCCTTCCAGACCTTGCAGTAAAAGTTTAATTTACAGAGCAGGTGATAAAAACATCTAAAGCCAGTTAACATCTAATTGAAAGTTAATACATGTTATTTTCATGCAGGCTTATACAGCCAAGGGAGGTGTGGCTAGGGCTGCATAAACAAAGTGCTTTAACTCCTAAATGGCAAATAATTGAACAGTGAAACTGCAGGGGCATGATTCACACACTAAAACTGCTTCATAAGCTAAAGTTGTTTGGATGCTTATATTATTCCTTTAAGATTAGGATTGGTATAGGGCAGGGGTTCACAATTAATTTTTCCAGTGGAACCCTTAGACATAGTGTATCAACATCGTGGAACCAACATATACACCGTGACACATACTCTTTGACAGACACACATACACTCTCACTGACAAACACACATATGCATTCTCACTGACAAATACATACACACACACACACACACACACAAAGTCTTTGACAGACACAAACGCATACAAACTCCCTAACAGACACACATACAAATTATTTTCTTTTAAAATTTTACTCCACCCAACCTTTCGAGAGTGCTGACATGAAGTCTCTATGCCCCTGTGGTTCAGTGGGGCTGCTAGGCTGGGCGTGCGGTCTCTGGGATTCAGTGGAGCTGCTGAGCGTTTGGCGTGCGAGTGGCGAGGGAGCAGTGATCTTCCTGCTCCGCTCCCTCGCATGCCTCTTAATGATGCCGGAGCTGCAGTGACGTCAAATTCCACCTCCGGCATCATTGCTGTGCACTCGAGGTTGCTGCTCGGGGGAGAGTTCTCTCTTTCCGCCCGTGACCATTTTGTTTCCCGAAATTTTGGCAGAACCTTATTTGTGTTCCCATGGAACACCAATTGTGAAACGTTGGTATAGTGACCGGTTAGTGGTATGTTTTGGGGGTTTTTGTGCTATCATTAATTACCAAAAAATATATTTAAATCTATTTTAAATTCTTTTTCTGTAGTTGCACTTGTTCCCCTTTAAATGACCAGCTCTAATCTCCTGATGTGTGTTTTTATTTATTTTTCCCAACTTGATTTTGACAGGACCAAAAACGAATGGAGAAAATCTCAAAACGTGTAAATGCCATTGAAGAAGTGAATAACAATGTGAGGCTATTGAGTGACATGTTGAGCACGTACAAATCAGGGCAAACATCGGAGGGCAATGAGGACTTAATGAAGGTAATACTGTTTACATTGCTATTTATAGCTAGTTAAGGCAGATCAAAAATTATGCTTTAATGGTAATTTTCTTATAATGTGCCTCTCTAAACTACTTATTATAGGCTTTACTGGGTTTTGTTGTTCCCCCTCCCCACTGTAGGAATTGTACCAGCGCTGTGAAAAAATGAGGCCCACACTGTTCCGTTTGGCCAGTGACACAGAAGACAATGATGAAGCCTTGGGTAAGATGATTAAAAGAACATTATAGCGGTAGGAATGCAGACATGTATTCTTAACACTGTAGTTCTGAAATAGCAGTTTGGGTCCATGCAACCTTACCTTTTTTCCATTACTGCGCAACTCTCGCAATGGCTGGCCCCAGTTCCATGGCTGAGATCATCAATCTTTATTATCTCAACCAATCCAATGCTTTCCCATGGGGAAGCATTGGGAGGCTATTGCGCATATGTGGCAAAATGCCACACTTCGTCAATCAGCATCTCCTTATAGAGATGCATTTAGTCAATGCATCTCTATTGGGAGCGTTCAGAGTTTCCTTGCTGAATGCAGGTACTGCACACAGTGCAGCACTAAAATAGGAAGCCCTTCTAGTGGCAGTCTGAGTGACTGCATCTAGAGGTGTTAGTAGGCAACAATGTAAACATTGCCTTTTCTTTGAAAAGGCAGTGTTTTACATTGAAAAGCCGACAGGGACACCAGTACCATTAGATTAAACTGTAGTGGTTCTGGTGACTAGAGTGTCCCTTTAATAAAGACCTCCATAAAACCTATAGAAAGGACTTTGGGAGAAGCTTAGTTGGCTGTAATTTCCAAGGAATACTGACTTTTCTAACAATTTCCGTGCTATAAAAATGGCCCTTGATTATATATGTGAGCTCCTTTGTGTATAATATGTAGTCAGTCTTACACTATGGCTTTTCTTTGAGTTCTAAAGCCATGAAAGTATTCATAATATGGTTATTAATGAAACTGCGTATAGTTAAAAATATCCAAACTGGGGTGATTAAAAAAAAAAAAAAAAAAACTTAAACTATGCAATTATTCTAGCTTGTCTATTTTCACCTAAAATTCCCCTCTCTGTTAACTTCAATTATGTTATATTCTTTGATTTTATCATTTTTCTTTAGTTATTTTTTTAGAATTTTTGTCAAAACACAAAATGCTAATGGAGTGTACAAATTCAGACACTTGCTTTTGAAAATAATTAAACTGTGACATCATGGTTTTTGTCTCTAGCGGAAATACTACAGGCGAACGATAGTTTGACACAAGTCATCAACACATACAGGCAGGTGGTGAAAGGAGAAGTTGTCAATGGCGAAACTGCATCAAGCAGCATGCCAGGTTAGAACTACATTCTGTTAGCCTTTAAAGCACAACCTTATTACAAGTTCAGTCTGAGTTGTGACCAATCTACAATATCCTGAGCTCTCTATTGTATGCTGCAATATACATGTCTTCTTATTCCTTCTCTCCCTTTAGCCAGCTCCTCTGCACTGCTGGATCTCTCAGGGCTGGACATAACTTCAGCAGCTGCCCCTTCTTACCCCTCTGTTCCAGCCTTGCCCTTGCAGTTTTCATCCGGTACCCCTGTACAGAACTCCGCATCCATATCCTTGCTAGATGATGAACTTATGTCCCTCGGTGAGAAATGTGTTTTGGTTTTTTTTTGGTTTTTTTTTCTTTGGTTTTTTTTTTTCCACAGCTGATGTAACTTGCATTATATCGTACTGGCCTTAAGATGGTGTGTGTGTGTGTGTGTGTGTGTGTAAATAGATAAAATGATTAGATAAAATGTGTACATAAGTGAGTTGTGATTAAAAACTCTGCCCTGGATGTCTACAAAAAAAAATATAAATAAATACATTTGAATTTTTGTTTCCTGCTTAGTAGATGGTATTGCAACCACAATAAGTTTTTAGTAACCCTTCCCTGCATGGAGAGAGATTTAGAGGAAGGTGGGTCAATTCCCTCTTTGGATGCATATCACCAGCATGCTGTGTGGGCTGACATCAGACATCCAATATGCAGAGAATTGACATTAACCAGCCTGGAACTTTTATTCTGAGTTGGCTAATGATGTCTCAATGATGCTTACAGAGGCTGAGTTACACCTCTGGCAGCAAAGGAGTTAAACTTGGTATGTGCTGCATGTCAGAGTGAAACTCTGTATATACAGACTCCAGGCACCATGACCACTTCAAATGACACAACTCTTTAAATGTTATGTTTTTGTAGCAACGAAGAGATGCCCATAATCCTAGTAAAACCAATTTCTGACACAATTTGGAAAAGAAATAGTAGATCTCCTGTGAGGATGGATTATTTAATATTATTTTATCACTTTGAGGGTGAATTCAAATGAGTGGTGCACTATGCCCTTGATGGTTATTGCTGCTGTATTACGTGTCCTTAATGTTACATTTCAAAAAAGTTAGATAATAAGAGAAAATTGTACATTTATTGAATAACTACTGTTGGCATTTAGATAAAAAACAAAAATGCCATACCTGCCTTTCAGGCAACTGGGCATGAAGTAAACTTTGTTTAATTTCTTTTACTCAGTAAGTAAATATATTTACTTACTAAATCCCTCTAGGTATGCAAGCTGGGAAATGTATCTATATGTATAATGTAAACATCCATTTATTATGTGTCCATTATGTGTTTATCTTCCATGATTTTATTTTATTACAGGTTTAAATGACCCTGTTCCTCTTGCACAACCTTCAGAATCCTCTGCATGGAATAGTTTCCAGGTAGTGTAATTAGCCAAGTGTTTAGTTGCTGCCTTATAGTGACCCCTATAGGTTTACTCCTATAAATAAATGTATGAATAATTGTGAAATTAGGCATGTCTGTATAAAGAATTTGTCTTTATCAGTAAGAAAGGATATAGTTGAAACAGGAAACTTATGGTCATACACTGATAAAAATGAAAACTTGAGCATATCTTAAATGTTTCACAGTCATGCAGCTAGCCTTTTTCAATGATTGCATTTCTGTATATCAAGTCGATCCTGAGCACCTATTGCATATTTATTTATTCATCAAGGGTTTTACCAGGGAAAATATACAGAGATTCCTCCTATATGTCCTTGGGCATTCAAGGAGCACAGTTATATAAGGTTACACAGTTAACATAAACATAACTAAAACATGGATATCCATTACAAGTTCTTGGAGATAAACTGCAAGGGAGTTATTTTTTAAAATAATAGACATGTAGAATATATTTCTGGTAGGTTACCCGACATGTGAGAGAGCTGCTTGATCAACTTCCTTATTGTGATTTTGATAGGGACAGTGGAGAATCAGGCCAAGCCTGTTTCTTGGGTAGTGTAGGAGCTTACAGGAAACTAGGTTATGATTTATCAGCCATTTAGTAGTGTAGGAGCTTACAGGAAACTAGGTTATGATTTATCAGCCATTTAGTTATCATAACCTATAACATACTCTGGTGAATAGTGTAATCACTGCAGGAGAAGTTTGAGCATGCGTGGGATAGGCATAAGGCTATCCTAGACTTAAGATAAGGCCAAAGACTAATGAAAGTATTTAGAAAATTTTGGCAGACTAGATGGGTCAAACGGTTCTTATCTGCAGTCATATTCTATTTTTCTTTGAAAATTTAACCAAATTAGTTGTACAGAATCTTGAGTTTATTGAAAATAATTTTTGATGTAGACCATATAAAGCATTCCCGCTATGCGTGACTGCGGGATATAAACAAATTGTGTTTATTTACAGATCACCAACATTACACTATATTACAATGATTGTCAGTATGAAGAGCCATTGCGAAGTCATTGTCTATCCACAATCAAAGATATTTGTAGGAGTTAACTGCGGCCAGATCATAATTTTTACTATTTAAATGGGTATTATTTTGTTTTTAGACTGTTTTGTTTGATGTGTCAAACTGCATCAAGAATTAGGATCTGCTTGATTTTAGAAATATCTCCTGTCTCTGAGAAATTCTGCTGTAAGCAACCTAAAGTGATACGTACCATGTTCGTTTCCTAGTGTGGATTGTTAGCTGTACACATTCTTACCTATGAGGTGTTGCAAGCCATGGGTAGATCATTAATAAATATGAAAAATAGGAGTCTAAGAATGTACCCTCGGGGAACTTTGACTATGTCAGGAACATTATTGTTTAAATATTCTGAGATGCAGTGTGGCATCTCAGAAAGTCCGCCAATAGTGATGTGCCGAACATATGCGCTGTTCGGTCCGCCCCCTGTTTCATCATTGAGTAAACTTTGACCCTGTACCTCACAGTCAGCAGACACATTCCAGCCAATCAGCAGCAGACCCTCCCTCCCAGACCCTCCCACCTCCTGGACAGCTCACTAAGAATGCAGCTTCACAATGAATGTAAAATGGATGCTGTCCAGGAGGTGGGAGGACCTGGGAGGGAGGGTCTGCTGCTGATTGGCTGGAATGTGTCTGCTGACTGTGAGGTACAGGGTCAAAGTTTGTTTATGTTCGCCATCCTTGGCGAACCGTTCAGCGAACCGTTCAGGACATCACTATCCGCCAACCCTTCCCATTTACACTGTTTTGACTTAACTGTCCAATCCACATTCAAATGTGTTGCCTAAATGTGCATCTAGGAGTGTTGACCTGTGGTTTGGAAACTCGTTAATAAGATGCTATGTTCAACAATAACAAATGCCATCAAGCAGTGACTGTGAAAATAGCTCCTGGTTGCTCACCTTTCCCATACAACTTTAACCAAACTTTAGAGGCCAGTTAAGTCCTATTATGTTTAATTACAGTTGTTATGGAAATGTAAGCACATCAATTTGAAGGGTTTCCTGTAATGTCCACAGTAAAGTTTGGTGAGTGCTTTTGCTTGTGGCTTGTCATATGTTTTGTTTGATGAGACAGTGACTCCAGGAAACCAGGTTTTTGGTTAATTTCCGTTTTTTACTCATGTACAATTCATCTATAAATAGTATTCCCTTTAAGAGGAGTATATTTTCTGCAAAAAGTTAATGTAAAAATAGTTTACACATCATCAAGCACCTAAGGTCCCTAAACATGTAATGCCTGTTGCACCTTTATGTAGCCCTCTAGTTGGTATTCACTTGGGTTACTCCTTTTTGTATGGGGTATTTAAAGAACAGATTGACGTGAATGCATATATCACCATTGTTTGTTTTTCTTTAAGTTGGAGTGTATTTTGTTATATAATGATGTACTTTTTACAGTACCGTCTGTTATTTGCCAAGTTTGTCATGCTGTACATAATCTGTAAGAAGCTGCCTTTTGTGTGAGGAACTGATACTTAATCACAAGACTTCACAGGGACTTGACTGTAGCCACTGTTTGGCTTATATCTTTATGTAACACATGTTTTAGCCCAGTTAAGAGAAGTGCACTGATCATTTTTTTTTTTTTTTTTCATACAATAATGTAGTTCTTCTTTCCCTTTTTTATTTCCTTATGACCAATAGGTAAAGTGATTTATTTATTATTACTACGTAGTGTTTATTTATTACTACATTGCTAAACACAAATACACACACCAGTCAGACCATAAGACTTGCTTTTCCCACAGAAATCTCACTTTAACAGTGCTCTTACTACTGCAAGGGATTCTGGGTAGGTGTATGCAAATGAGCTCAACAAAGAACCACATTTTTGCCTCCTAATTCCACTTTATACATGGATTCTTTGGAATATGTGCCTGCTGTATACAACATGTTTGAAACACAACTCAGGAAGAGGAGCCAGTGAACCACTCATGGACAGCTGTTAATATATATATTAGACAATATCACATTTTGCATGTGGTAAAGATATTCATTTGATGCACACAGGCATCAGTCATAGAAGGTTTGGCTCACAGGTCTTATTACTTTGGTCTGTGGGCAAAAACATTGTACAGCTGGTGCTTGTGTGTAAATATGTTATTGCTTGTAAAACACAAGACTTTCCCTTGTGTATATATACCTGTGGTGTGGTGCCCTTTTGTTGGTCTTAAATAGCTGCAGTTGTAGTTTTTTTTTTGTTTTTTTTTTAAATCTGTAGATCAGATTTCAAAGTTCCCAGGCTTTTCATTTAAAAAATATGTTGTTTGTGTTTTTATTTTAAAGTCATTCTAAATGTAAAATTATTTATTTAAATATTACAAAATATCATAATGTAATCATTAGAATTTGTATTATTCCATCACTAAGTAAGCAGTAACAGTGTCAACATTTTGTAGTTCCTTTTTTTTAATGTAATTGTAAATGCATATCTACTTTATTATTATATTATTATTATTTTACTTGATCTCACCCTATGGAGCTAAATACTTCATTGATATGCATGCACATATGTTTTATTGGCATAAAAAAATTTATATGGCTGCAAATAGCCATGTAAAGCGGAGACAGTTTTTGCAACTTATTCAGTTGCCAGTAACTGAGCAAGACATCATGGGAGTTCAACAGAGAACTGCAGTAGTGTTTGCTTTATACAGCAATTATATCAACTCTGTGATATCATTTTAATGTTTAGATATGTCTTCCTATATTTTATATAGTCACTCAGGTGCACACAAGACATTATTGTATCTGTGTCCATAGAGAGTCACAAACATAACTACTGAAGAGCCTGCTTTACAGCGTAGATACTGCAGTATATTAAGTGTCATTCAGGACAACAAATGGAGATATGCTGCAATAAAGCCCACCATAATTTCTATAATTTTTTATTTTATTTTTATACCGGTCATCTGTGAATTGTTATTGTTCAATATTTTATTCTGTATATATACTGTTCATTTAACATAGTAGTCACACCTATGTACATCTCCATCTCTTGCTCTGACGCAGTCCTCAGAAAGTACCGAACCAGCTTTGAATGAGAAAGGGGCTTCTTCTATTCCCCAAACACCACCACAGGGAAATAAAGCTTTGGAAGATCTTGATCTTCTCGGGAAAACACTCCTGCAACAGTCATTGCCAGCTAGCAGTCTCCAAGTACGATGGTGAGAACACTCTATTTGTACGACTTCTCTTTGTTAAGGCCATGAAAACTCTCTTAACAGCAGCAGACAACGGTACTCCACATGTTAAATAGTAGCTGGAGGATGATCACCAAAGCTATGCAGATTTAAACATTGTACAACATACTCCTCCAAATGCCAAGTTCTTTTCTGTTCCAGAACTGTTAATTGACAGTCTTTTTGACATGACCAAAATTTAATGCCTGTACAAAAGCTTTTCGTCAACAGCGATGCAGGAAATAATTTAGTGTGAAGTACTCAAGCGTTTATAAGATGATGGCTAATCTGTCTATGTCATGTGGTGTGTTTGATATACATTATTCAGTCTTCTAGACTTTATTTATATTATAGATCTCAATATATACATATATCTGTCTCACAAATTAATGTATTTGGAATTTAATTGAGTCAAATCAAGCATTATCCATAGGCATAACGTAATATTTTCTAAATTGCATACAGCTGTCTAGATTTTCTTACTGCATGAGTGGAAATGAACTTGTCTCACATATATCAGGATATCCAAGGATACTATAATTCCTAGGTATGGCAAGCTCCTTTGTGATCTTATAGGTTAAGGGCAGGCAACTTTCAGCACTCTCATGTGGGTAATATGTAGCTACTAGTAACTTTGTATTGGGAAAATGAAACAATAGCAGCAGGAGGCTCTGTTCTAGTGTATGTGCTTAAAGTATTACTTAGAACACTGTATCCAGGGCAAAATCAAGAAGTAATAGAATTGTAGAGTTTCTAATTGTATGTTTCCCTTTTTATGGTGCTTTTTGCTAGCTGCTTTCAGAAGATTTTAGTTCCCAAAATTGTTTCTGGTCTCAAAACCATGTGAATTTACAGGTTTGAGCAAGAGGATTCTGAGAATATTCTGTATGTGCTTTTGTATGAAGCACAGGTTTGATTTAGAAATACAGACTTCAGCAGGGAGTTGTGGTGAGGCAGTAGATGACAAGGAATTCCCAGTATAACAAAGCTGGAAAAAAATCTTTGCATTTCATTATTCTATTAAAGCAAAATCTGTCACTTTTCTGTATTTTATAGATGTAATCTTTATGAAATACTGATTAATACTGCATTGGAATTCCAACGCAATCCAAAGATACCGTAAGACAAAGTTGAAACTACTTTGTCTTATGGTAGAGTCTACAGTTGACAAAAGGCGCAGCCACTCTGTCAACATTTGTCCAATCACAGCAGCCATCACAAATGTAGGCTCCTCCATAGACCTCAGTATTGTACTCTCGCGAGTACCTGCGGCTTTAATATGGCATTGTCCATGAGGGACAGCCAGTGGTAAGTTTATATGCAAAGAACTGTGAAATTGACCGATCCCCCTAAACCACACTAATCAAAATTGTACATCACTGTTTTACTGTTAGTTCACCTTAGGGGTCACTATACAAGTCACTGTTTTATCAGAAAAATGTATGGTTCTTAGCTGCTCTACAAATGGTGACACTAATTGCCTTGGGATAAAGTAGGAAGGGTCAACTATATTACTAAGTTCAATAAGAAAAACATTCTTCTAGAAAACAAATTACACTGTAGAGGAAAAAGATGAAGTGTATTTTAGAAGAACATTCTTTATATATCATTTACATTTGTGATCTATGTGGTTTGTGGATTACTAATCCCCTTTAAAAGTTTTATTATTATTTTTCTTCTAGTTTGTCTTGATTTTACTACATATAAACAAATATGTGTTTCTAGAGGTTTTGAGTTAAGTCATTGATCTGAAATACTTGACTTATACGAATTTTAAAAGCTGTTGTATTCTTGCTTTTATGGAGATATCTGTCCACTTTCTTACCAGGGAAAAACCCCAGCACAAACTAACCCTGCGTGACCTTCAGAATAAAGCTGCCCCTGGAGTTTCTCCTCCTCAGCCAGCTGCTGCTCTAGGGACCATTCCATCTCTTAGTGGAGACCATTCAGTTGCGTCCCCTGTGAAAGCAGAAATGTTTCTGGCAAATGTCACTGTACCTCTGGAGTCCATCAAACCTAGTAAGCATTCAAAATATGGGTGGCTACTTACAGTATTTTTTGTCCATGATATTCTGGGGCATGGTCCATGTGGAAGACATATTCGTAAACACAATCTTACATTTACACCCTATCCTACTTTCTTTCTTTTTCTTTCCTTTTTTTTTTTTTTCGCAGGTAGCATTCTCCCAGTAACTGTGTATGACCAGCGCAGTTTCCGGGTACTCTTTCACTTTGCTCAGGATCCCCCTGCAGGGAGGCCAGACATCCTTGTTGTTGTTATCTCCATGCTGAGCACAGCACCGCTCCCAGTCACTGGAATAAGCTTCCAAGCCGCAGTGCCCAAGGTACCTAAAATATTCCTTTTGTCATTGGTGGGTAAAAGGTGTGTTGTGTTTTTGTTTTTTGTTTTAGCCCTGGTGAATATCCATGAACTATTCAGTCTTGTCATTGTGAGTAACATTTGAGGCCTGGCCAGAAGAGTTGTTTTTGTTGTTGGTTTTTCTCTTTGATTTAAGACACCAAAGTTATATGCTTGATATTATTGCAGTGTGGCCCGTAGATGAGTAAGAGAGCGGTGTTGGTGGTTTGCAGGACAAGAAAAAGCATAGCTTGGGGCTCAGTTGTAGTAAACCTCCTTCAATATGTATATTTTTAACATTAGATATAGTTTTCAAAACTTGGAAGTTTAGAGTAATGTAGTTGACATTTTCCATTTTTAATGTCTGCGGATGAGCTGAATGAAATGCAAAGTAATGATATTTTACTCTTCACCACCTTTTGTTCTCTGTTCTATGCTGTCCCTTCTCCCATCGCTTCCTTCCTCAAAGACAATGAAGGTGAAGTTGCAACCAGCAACTAGCAGTGAGCTCCCACCTTTCAATCCTATTTTGCCTCCGTCTGCCATCACTCAGGTGCTGCTGCTGGCAAATCCTGCTCAGGTGAGTTACATTTAAGGAAAGTAAATATAGTTATGTGACAAAGGCAATAAATGCATATACACAGATATTTATGCAAACGCTGCCAACTGCATATGAACTTTTATTTGCAGTCTGTCTTTTCTATATTTAAGACACAGGAACTGTCACAAACTAGGTCTGATAGTTAAATCTGTGTTGGTTGAAATTCCACTTTCCCTGTTGCTGGTGTACTAAGGGATCGCAAGGAAGGATGTGAGCACTGGTATTTTGTCTTATTGCAGCCATTGTCACCTTACATCACTCAATATATTGTTCGAACTGGAGTGTCCTAACACCGTTCTCTCTATATAACATAAATTTGACCATTCTTCTTTGATGCCTCATGTTCTATAAACCTTTTTATATTAGGCCATGATTTCTCTATATGTGCACATGGTCATAGTTCTGTAGAAAAAAAAAGTCTAACCTTTCATCAAAAAAATTAGCAAACACGTTTATTCAGAATTCCTATCCAAATCAAAATGATCTTTGTATAGAAGTTGCTCATATTACTCTTCACCACCTTTTTGATAGATAGGTAGATATATATTATTTATACAGTGTGCACTCCACCAAGCATACATAATTTTCTTCCTGTGTTTCCTGGAGGATTAACGAATATATGCAGCCTCTTTTAAGTGCTTATAAAGATGACCAGGTCCAGATTTTAAAATATGCAACAAGAGACTAATATTCAAATTATGTGTATGATTTTGTTGTTGTTGTGTTTTTGTTTTTCTTTTAATATGGATTAATTCTTGTTTTCTTCCACCTCTCTGACTCGTTACATACTGGTTCACTCACACGTTTGCTTTGTGGTTTTTCCCTGCACATAGGAGAAGGTGCGCCTACGATACAAACTTACCTACACTCAAGGGGATCAGTCGTTCGATGAGATGGGAGATGTAGAAGAATTCCCTCCAGTGGAGAAATGGGGCAACCTCTAAGGCACGAGCAAAAAAGAAAATGAAGAGAAATAAGGGCAGAAACTTTATAAGGAAAGCATGGAGCCCTCTCTCCTTACTTGGAAGATCTACTAAATATGATGGCTATCCAGAAGTGGAATGCAGAAGTGGCAGTGGCAGGCACACCCAGGACTGCAGTAGATAACTCAATCTGAATTACATGGCTGCTCTTTAAGATTTTTTTTTTTTAATCCAAAGCTCCAAACACTCTACTGTTACATGGATACTTCTGGGGGGCAATCTGAATTGGCACAAGGTACAGTAGCAATTGGGATGAACGAAAAAAAGAAAATAACCTCTATTAGTACAACTCTTTGCTTGCTCTTTATTTTTTGTTTGTTCGAACTATTGTTTTTTGTTTTTGTTTTTTCTTTGTTTGCTTCCCTCCCATTTAATTTTCTGTATACCAGTCTGTGCTAGAGGAGTCTTTAATGTGCTACCAAACGACTATTGGAAAAGAGTGTATTGCTTCCAGTGGTCCCTTCATTAAACTATAAACATTTACCTCAGAAGAAATCTTCACTAAGCAATGATTTTTGAAAGTTTTAGGGTGCTTCTTGTATAGCATCAGTTGTTTTCCTCCTACTCTGTGCTTGCGAGCTCACACACAACATCCCATCATTTTCCGATTCCTTAACTGCACTTAAACATTAACATCTCTGTTTGTTATATATTCATATAATGGGTAAGTATCATTCTTATAATACTTCACCCACTGATTGTATCCCGTGCTGCTCCCAGGCACAAATGTATATGTTTTTTAAACGCACTGTACCTTGACAGCAGTGTTTCGATACATTATGCCTTATATATGTGTTGTACTTGATTGTGCTTTATGTATGACAGAGTCCAGGCCATTGCATTAAGCATTGTTTAGCCTGTAAATGTGCATTACTACTACAGCCCTTAGGAGGATATGTGTTTTGGGTGTTTTTAAATTTGGTTTTACCTTAGCACGTTATTTAATGCTTATAACCCAAATTCTAATTGATATATAGAATTTTATGTATTGAATGGACATGATTTATTATTTTTTTTTATATTGTTTTTTTTTCTCCGAACCTCTGCTTATTTCCTGATTTGCACTGCAATCCATGTTACTGCCTACACATGCAGCATTCTGCGCAAAAGTGTAATCACCCACTGCCCTGCACTTGTTCCTCACGATGTCCGCATGCATTGTTTCTGGTTTTATTCAAGCTCCCACTTGCCGCAACAATGTCCTGTGCTGACTTGAGTTACTATTTTGCACACAACAGCAATGCCAATGCCTACTCTCTTTCTATGCACGTTCCAGAAGAATGAATTGTTCTGTGCGAACTACAGCTTCCTGTGTTATAAGGCTCCCACACAAAGTGCAGAGAACACTGTTCAATCCCTACTTTCACCCTCAGCATACATTAAGCTGTGCTAAGACTCCCCCTTCTCCCCCCCCCCTTCCCAAATTCATACACACTATATGGTTTCTAAACAAGCTGTAACGTTGCACACAGCAACTGTGCTAAGTGTTACTTCTATCCTGCAAAGAACATCCAGTCCATCACAAGTGTGAGGGTGCGGGGTAAAGCTTGCTAATGCTGACCACATCTAGTTCTCCTTTTTGAGTCCTGTACCAATCCTCTATCCTACCTTAGGAGATATAAAAGGTTATTTTTGTCAGTAGATATACCTTCTAATTCAAGCTGCCTCTAGTTGTTGATTATAAACGACACCATCCTTAGACTGATGCAGACACCCAGGTTTTCCTTTACCCTATAGTTTTATGCCTAGTCGGCAGTGGACATGGTGGCCTTGAAAATAGGTTGGTGACCACAAGGTATGGTACTGGATCAGGAAGACACTCGTTGGAGCAGATTGTGACAAATCAATTGCATATAATTGTGAATCTACTGCCAATTACTACTTCCTATGCTACAACAGGGGTGACCAATAGGTAGATCTGCAGCTTTTGTAGAAATTCAACACATTTGCGTGCTTTAAGTTGCAATTCTACAAGAGCTAGCATAACATTTGACCTCCCTCCTATACAGGGCCAAATGTTATGCCCCTAACTCTTGTAGAACTGCAACTTAAAGCAGGCAAATAATATAGTTTAGTTTAAATTATTGTGAGGCAGTTAGTATTTAGGTAGTAACTTAATATTCTGTATAAATAAAATAAGGTAAGCTAAATATGATCACTAAACTTTATCACTAATGCTTTCTGTTCCCTGGGGTACAATGTCTCCGAATTGTCCTTTTTTAGTATACATATTTTTTTTCCTTTAAATTTTTGAAGTTCTTTTTTATATAAAGAAGTCCTAGTAATTATAATGAAAGCAAACTATCTCAATGTTTCTATTAAAACCACATCTCAAAGATGCCTTATTTCTGTCTAAACACCACTTTTTCACATTTCCAAAAATAAATGAGAAGTTCTACTGCTCCTGTTAAAACACACAAGTAACACAAGGATACACCTGTGTGTGTATATGATTTTTTTTGCTTTGAATCAAAGGATTCCCGATTGCCACCTCAATTGCTAAAAGTAATTGGTGGTAAGATTTTAAAGGGCTTTGTTTATGTCTTTTTGGGGGTGGGGGAGTGTTTTCATTTTGTTAATGTTCTACAGGATATTGATCACCTTGTTTATCTTAACTGTGGGTTATTTATAATAAAGTCTGCATTTGCAGACTGGTGATATAGTCACACGGGCTATTAATTGATGTGTATATTTATATATATGATTCCAAGTGCCGGTTTGTGCTATTACAACCCCTTAATGGTTTGCTGACCATTACAGTAAAAAAAAAATATATATTATACACCACTTTGTCAGATTTGACACCCTACTTAGCCTTGCTCCTCCTCCTTACATTCATTGCTTTTTGCCTCCTCCATTTTTCCCTTTAACAAACCAAATGTGTCTTAATATTTTGATTTTACATCTGTCACCCCCACCTGTTTTGTGTTCTAAACACACATGTATATTTTTGGTGTGTAAGAGGTGTTGGGGCGGGTAGCACAATAAACAAAAAAAACAAAAATCTGTAATTTAAGGAGAAATAAAAGCTTTATTTCAGAACCCTGGAATTTGATGACGTTGTATATATATATATATATATATATGTGTGTGTGTTTTTAATGCAGTTCCGTCAATGGCGATAATAAAGATCTTCCAATTTACATGATACAATTGGTAATTAATAACAATATTTCCAAGAGTATGACCAGAAGATATGTTAAAGTAGGCAATTTTGTTTTTTTTGCAGTGCCTGATCAATGACTTTAGAGAAGGCTTATGTCAGTTTTTGAAGGCGGGAGTCATAACCATGAATTTAACAAGACCATTACAGTAGTAAAATTTGTCTTGGTCTTAAAGAGACACTCCATGCTGGGGTTGTCGAACATTTTTAATGCATTTATATAGATAAGGCAGTGTCCATGACTATATAGTCGGTTATGATGGTTTCTGTATTCTCTCAGATGATGCCTAATTTGACTTGAGGCAGCCAGTGATTGGAGATTTAGGTCAATTTACAAAATCAGCAGTGCTGAGATACCCAAAGTATAAAAGTGCAAACTTTCCAATAAGTCAGTACTTACAAATATTATTGAAATAAATATCATTGGTTTATCCACAATCAGAATAAAATCATAGAGCTGTTGGTCAGTGTTAAAGGGTTACTCCAGGCATCATAAGCACATCCCGCCATAGTGGCTATGATGCGAGGAATATCCTGATCCAGCTCATTTAGCTCATTGAAGTGGTCTGGGTGCATAGTCCCAGGTCGCTTAACCCTGCAAAGGTAATCATTGCAGTTTTTAATAAACTTAAATTATTACCTTTTGAGGGTTAACTCCACCTCTAGTGGCTGCCACTAGAGGGACCTCTGGGTCGTTAGGCGACCTTTGGTTGCCTGACTGGCACTGGATGTCCTCACACTATGCATGAGTCTATTCAGTGTCATGTAAACCCCCATAGGAAGGCATTATACATTTTTTCTTATGGGGGAAATACTAATGCGAGCAGAGGCAGAGCCAGAACCTCAAGTAAGTGTCAGAAGGGGTATTTAATGGAGGGGGGGGAGGGGGACACAATGGTTTCCATTTAAGGTCACTGAAATGGCTGTGGTGCTTGGAATAACAACATTCTGAAAAGGGTACTTTTGGCATGGACACCAATGGAATCCTGAACATTCATAATAAGACACACACATTAAATGAGAAGTACTAGAGTGATACCTGTTTTCTCAAGTGTAGGTTTTTCTTACTAAGAAAAGCTTAGCCCCAAGCCTAACGTTTGCAAAATAAAGGTGATGATGAGGTCGAATCAGCATTGTTCATGTTACTGGTGACATTACTCCTAAACTCTAGGTAGTGGTGACAAATTATACTTAACGGGACACTCCACTGCCCAAATACATAATAAAAAATATAAATAAAAATCCCTGATTAGTAGGTATACCCGAAATGAAGACATGCATGCATGTCTTAATGTATTTTTTAATTGGGGATATATCTAAAACCAGCTTGCAAAACATGCAGTTCTCTTGTCTGCTGCCTTTGCAAGCCCTCCCCTTCTAATCCCACCCAGACTTTCTGTGGCTGTCCAATCACAGACTTCCCAATACAGCTCACTGAGAAGTCTTTGTAAAACAGATGCTGTGGGCAATTGCTGCCTCTTGAGGTCAGTTGCATTGAGCTAATGAAACCTGGAAGTAACATTACCTGTTGTCTGCCTGAATGCCATGAGAGTGTAACTGGGTTTAGGAGTCTGGAGTCATCCTTTAAGAGATGGGAGAAATATGGGCGGGGGAGGTACTATAGAGTGGTATCACTGTCTGTCTATAAAGCAGTTGTTACCCTGACCCAACGTCTCTAGTTTAGAACGCCTCCAAATGTTGGAGCATTGGTGGACATAGCTTCTAGAATCTCTACCAGTTTCAAGGGTGTTGGAGGAAGCATATTGTGAGAATAAGTGTTAATGTTACACGTTTTCTCTATTGAAAAAACTTTATCGTATCAAAATGTTGTAGTAATCCTAAAGAATAACTTATAATATTGGTGTTTGTGAGGGAGAAAAGGTTATGAACAGTTGATATTCCTCACCTACTCCTATCAATGGAGCAGGTTGTATTGCAACTAGGAGAAACTTTTTATCGCTGCACACCCAGTGCACTTATGACAATATCTCCCAAGAAAGTTCTAGCTTTACGTTTACTCACATTTTCTCACTGTGGTCAAATTTTTTTTTTTTTTTTTTTAAACTCAACCCTCCTTAACTAAGGGTGACGTGTCACAGATCGTAATCTTGAATGGGAGCCAAAGTATATCTAATTCTTGTATTGTCCATCTGGCTAACATTCTTCTTACTAATACCACTATGTCAAGTGCAGCGCAACATTACCAAATAGGATAATTAGACGTCTCTACCAGCAACATGCTTCCCGATTTCATGGCAGACTTTCTAGGTGAATTATTGATATAGTAATATGGATGTATTTCACCTTGATCTGTGTGAACATTTAGGACAGGGTAACCCATCTTTGGGAGATCACATTTTAAAAGGCCATCTGCTACACGAGATGTTGGGATTATGGAGCACTGACAGTTGTTTAGTAGGTTGTGTTATCACTGATCAATTCACTCTGAAAGCTTAGTGAAGATTACATTCTCCTTTCTGGGGATTTTTAGTGGGTTGCACCAATCAAACTCTTCTGCCCATGCAACTGCTCCACTTCTTCACAAAATATTTAACTCCTGCTGTGCCTCCTACATCCTGTGAACAGGTTTTACCCTTCTGAGAAAAAGTTTCCCTATTCTTCAATTGTGTGAAGGGTTGGTCAGCACTAATAGGGGTGATTTATTTGGTTTCGTAAGTAACCTTTAAGCTTTTCTGTTTTTTAGCTCTATCAGTAGTGAATTCAGCAAACCTACTTAGAAAGAGGGAGGGTACGCACAAAGGATTGACAAGACAGCCTGGCAGGAATTCAGGCTGGGCTGACTTTCTATCATCCAAGTCGGCCCACTGAGGTCAAATCCTCAAGAGACACTGTTTCACAGCTCTCCCAAAAGTGGGGCACCGGGGATCAAAGCCGGAATATCGGCACCATGGAAGGACCCGAATATCAGAACTCTCCCGGGACGGTTGGGAGGCCTGCAAGCGTGTTTGTTTTAATTGAACAAACTTATGCAAACCGTTCTAAAAAAAAAAAAAATGGGGGGCTCTTACCTTTTCGAAGAATGCAGAAAGTGTATGCAGTCTATCACATAGCTGCAGTGCAGAAGCTTTCTATTCTGCTCAGACGTTCTGAATCTGATTTTATTCTATGTAAACCAACTGCGTGTGCTAGAGAACCATCTTCCTGCACACACTTCCAGCTGCAACTGCCAGTGCCTGACCACAGCCAACTGCAATAAACAGAACTAGATTTGTTAGTGTATTAAAGGGTCACTCCAAGCCCCTAATACAATTTTAAATCGCGTTTGAAGTTTGGCCTCATTAATATGCTGTATAGTTTGCTGCCTCCTCAGCCACACTACCACTCCAGAAAAATACTTGCATGCTATCACAAATCCCTGTGTACATTTAAATAGCTGAGGTTTTTAGTACAATTTAAAATGGCCATTAAAGTGTAAGATCACCTGCTGTGTCAAGCTGACCTTGACCTTGAGTCCCGCACTATTAACACTAACAATTCACTTATCTCTAGAGATACTGAAAGGGGTATTCTTATGAACTCCTAAACACTTATTAACTCTTAATAAGACGCACAAAGGGTGAGTGTCAGCGCTGCAGCATGGCTAATTAGAATAAAATACAAACACACAAATTCTCACTACTTTTGTGCTGTCTGTGCACAATTATATAATGGAATTGTCAAAAACTCACTAAATAACGACTCTAACATATAATTGCCCTCACTCAACGGCTGGCATTTTTTTGGGAAGACAAAAGAAAGCCCCTTCGTTTATTAACTCAGGTAAGCATTGTCAACCCTCATCTTGTATTAGCACTTTCCTCTTGCATTTGGTGAAAACAGTAGGGGAGACACTAATAATGGGAATTCCAACATCTGCCTTCTTTTTTCAGGCCTCCCCGGCATCTGAGCATTGGATGAATAAGATCAGGGAGATTGCAACTTCAGTTTGGTTTCAGGAGACGTCATGAGAACACAGTAATTTTTAATCTTTGGTGAAGGAAGAGAGTATCATTGGTCATTTTTGTAATGTAATTCACACAATATAGTTAACCCTTTAAGGACCAAACCTCTGGAATAAAAGGGAATCATGACATGTCACATGTCCTTAAAGGACCACTATAGGCACCCAGACCACTTCAGCTTATTGAGGTGGTCTGGGTGCCTGGTCCATCTAGGGTTAACCCTTTTTTCTATAAGCATAGCAGTTTCAGAGAAACTGCTATGTTTATGTTAGGGTTAATCCAGCCTCTAGTGGCTGTCTCATTGACATCCGCTAGACGGCTTCCGCGCTTCTCACTGTGAAAATCACAGTGAGAAGACGCCAGCGTCCATAGGAAAGCATTGAGAATGCTTTCCTATGGACTGGCTGAATGGGCGTGCGGCTCCTGCCGCGCATGCGCATTCAGCCGAAGAGGAGGAGGAGAGCTCCCCGCCCGGCACTGGAAAAAGAGGTAAGTTTAACCACTTCCTCTCCATCCAGCCCGGCGGGAGGGAGACCCTGAGGGTGGGGGCACCCTCAGGGCACTATAATGCCAGGAAAACGAGTATGTTTTCCTGGCACTATAGTGGTCCTTTAAGGGGTTAAATAATTTAAGTTTATAATAAATATGTTAAATAATTTTGTTTATGCAAAATGGAGTTAAATAATTTTGTTTATGCAACCCTCACCTCCCATGCATTAGATTTCTGACGATACATTTTATTGGCTATTTTTTTTTTTTTTTAGTGTGAGCGATAACCAGCGCATTAACAATAAAGATTCCAGATTAGCAGATATAATAAACCTCTTATCAGGTTCTGTTCTGGGAAGAATGCATAGAAACATGGAGGTTCTGGGCATTCTGTTTGATGTGCCTGTAATGCACGGACTGATCAGAATGGATGACATGAGACCCTTTTGCAACATAGTTTTTCAGCCAACCTGAATTTTTTTTTTTATTGTATCTTAGAATTTGTGTTTGTTCTAGCCACAATAGATGC